GCAATATTGGTCCATTGCCACAGCAGAAATGTGGACGGTTAATAAAGAATCGTATCAACGTTAAGTGCCCTGAGATTGATAATTGCTGTGGTTACATAAGAAAATGCCCTCATGTTTAGGAAATGCAAACCCTACAACTGACTCTCCAGGGGGAAAATATATACATCTCCAGATACAGACATAGATGTCCAAATGATAAGGCAAAAGCGATAAAATAGTAGCAGTGGGTGAATCCCGGAAAAGAGCACACAGGTAGGTTATTTTTGCAGATCTTCTGTCTGAGATTATTTCTAAAAGAGTTAGAAATAACCACCCTCAGTGCTGAGTTGCTTTGGATGCTGATGGGAAGAGTCTACCCCCACCCCAACACTAGCATACACAAGAGCATAGTGACCCCAAGTTCAAGGTCTCATCAGGCCTTGGGCGTGTCCCCTCCAGGAGCATGCTGCTGCCCTGATTGTCCTGGGGTAGAGGGGCTTGGCATGCTGTGCTTATTCTGAAGCCATCGCCGTAAGGAATACAAGCCAGTGTATTCCTCCCAAGATTATTTCCTCCCAGGCCAGTGTCAAGTAAAGCAGGATATTTAGAGAACGAAATTTTAAAACCATCCCAGCTACACTGAGTCAGTTGACACATCCCTGGCATTTGGCCCCTGGTGTGAGGTGGTTTTGTGGCTTTGCCAGCTGTGGTATTTGGAAATGGGAGCCTTGTGCTTCTGGCGTGAGCAGCTGGTCACAGTGGCCTCTGAGTCTCACAGGCACCAGTCCACATGGAATGTCCTGCTCACCTCTTGCCCTCTGATCAGACTGCTGTCTTCAGTTACCATTGAAAGCAGTGGCTGCGGGAGGCATTTTGAGAAGCATTGATGGTGGAGACTCAGGGCTAGACCTGGAGATGTTCCTGCCCCCATGATGGCCCTATGAAAAGTAACTTCGGAGCCACTTTTCCTTTGGGTATGTGGTAGGAGCACACAGCATATACAGGGGTCTTAGGGAGTGGCACACAAGCAGCTAGAGGAGGAGACTGGATGCCAGGGCTGCAGTGGGATAGGAGCTCCCATGCCCTGCCCTCTGCTCCAAGGAAAGAGCAGCCCTCTGTGCCCACTGTCCCAAGAACCCAGCCAGCCGGACGCCTGGTCCAAGGAGTCCCTCCCTGCCCTGTCTGCTCACCTTCACTGATGCCATGTGTAGATCTCAGCCTCCTGGGGTTTGCACCCTTGCATGCTGTCCTCTGACTCCAGATCTAGTCTGGCTCTGTGGGACTGCAGAATGTGGTGGAGGTGGCATGTGGGAGTTCCCAGGCGACATCAGGAGAAGCCTTACAGCCTCTGCCTGAGTTACTTGGAATGACATCTCACTTGGAACTTGGCCACCATGCTGTGTGAGGAGAACAGATGCCCTGAAGAAGCCATGAATGCACCCCCAACAGCAGTCCTGGGCCTCCAGGCCAGTTGGGGCTTTCTCTGGCTCCAGCCGCAGCCGCCATCTGACCACAGGCAAGCAGGAGCCCCCTGAGCCAGTCAGCTCCTGCACCGTGAACAAGAATGATCAACAATTGCTTGAAGCCACCAAGTTTAGGGGTGGCCTGCTGCATAGCAGTTGGTGTTTGGGACATGGTATATGGACAGATGACTAAATCCATGACTAGGGCCATGGAGGTGGACTGTTTTTTCCCGTTTGGGTTTCCTTTCTACCCCAGTCATCATGCCAAGCTCTCTAGCTCACACAGGGCCCCAGGGAGGATGACCCAAATGTGGCCTAACCCCAGGGACTACAGAAATGGCAAGCAGTGATTTGTTATGTGACTACTTGTGTTAATCTTTGGAGAACAAGACAGAGGAGCTGGCTCTTTGTCCACAGGAATGAGCTCTCAAAGGTAGAGATGCGCCCTGTTTATCTTAGTGTCCCCCAAAGCTTAGCGCTTGCCAGGCACTCAAGTTCTTCCGCATGGTTGAATTAAGTAGCGGGAGTCTCCAGGAGCAGGGGGGTGCGTGGGCAGCCTCCTGATCTGAAAAATCCTTCAAGAAGCCTTCACCATAGGCCAGGAGAGGCCAGGCTCTCTGTCCGTGCCACTGCCTCTCCCTATTGCTCAAATGCCCAGGACAGGCTGGGGTCCCCCAGAGAATGCGTATGCCATGGCCCCTGGCCTTGGGGAGCCCTCACCATTTGACATGGCAGGTGGTTAACAGAACTCATGTGGTTGGTGCTGCCCAAAACGCTGCCAGCAGAGACAGAGCATAATTAAACCGAGCTGCCAGCCCTGTTCCGTGAGAGGAAGGTAGGTGGGTTTGTTTAAAATACTCCCATTACAGTCAGTTAACCTTTATGTTCCCTAAATGATAATTGTATAAACCTGAAATTTTCGTTGATCATGTTGCCTAGGAACCGGCAGCAGGTTTTCATAAGACAATGCAGTAGATTGTCACCGATAGGGCTAGTAGGAAGTGAGCTGGTTAGAGGCATTATTCCCCATCCTGGTGTCGCTTAGGTAATTATCTGTCTGCCTGTTCAGGGCACGCCCATCTTCCCCTGCTGGAGCAGGTTCATGCAAATGAAATTTCTCAGCTGCTTTTCTCAATGTCCCCTGGGGGCCTGGAGTCGAGGAGCCAGCCACCCCTGGGCTTATGAGAAAAATCTAAAAGACCCAATTTGGATGAATTTATTTCTTTTTAATCACCTTTCCCTGCTACTTGGCAACAATAACACCCTAATAGCCCTATTGGTGACAGCCTATTGCATTGTCTTGTAAAGACATGCTGCCTGTTCCTAGCAGAAAACTTAGAAGATAAATGGTAACAACCTTCACAATAGGAAAATTTTTAAAAGCCACTCTAATAAAACTGTGGTAGAGCTTTTTAGTATTTTTTCTTTCTGTACGATATAGAAATATGTATGATATATATATATATATATATATATATATATATGTTTATTTTCTACAAAGTCACTGTAATTTGCTTTTTTTGTCTCCTGCAGTTAGGAGCTGTCTTGATTTGTCTGGGACTGAGGATTTCCCCAAAACCAGTGTATGTTATCATTAGGGTGCTTTTCTATAGCTGTGTAGCATTTGGTCAGTGTGGCTGGACCAAACTAGCTTAACCAATTCTCTGTTCTTGGACTTTTCAGGGATGTCTGGTTTTTTGTTTTTTGAGTTTTTTTCCACAATTAATGCTTCTGGTGACTAGCCTTATCCATAGGTCTTGCAGGATGAATTCCTATTAGGATGTGCACGTTTGTGGCTTTTGATAGATTGTCAGGTTGTCCTCCTGAAAAAATATGTGCAGTAGCCCAGTGTGATGGCACATGCCTGTAATCCCAGCACTCCGGAGGCTGAAGCAGGAGGATCGCGGAGAGTTCAAAGCCAGCCTAAACAACAGAGTGAGGCCCTATCTCAAAAAAACCAAACCAAACAAACAAACAAAAAAATATGTGCAATTTCCTTCCTTGTTCCCCTGCAGGAACCCTGAGATCATACAATCCGTTCATCACTGCCAATCTGATGGGGAAAAATTTTTCATGCATATATATATATATATATATATATATATATATATATCATATATCTGCCTTATTTTGGGGAAGTATGCTTATTAGCCATTTGTGAGTTGCCTGTTCATGTGTTTTACCCATTTCCCTTTTCAGAAATCTATAAAAATTTTTACGGTAATTTTTACCAGTTAGTTTGCTCTCAGTACCTTAGGCACACTGAGCAATAGGAACTTTCCTGTCACAGTGATCCATCAGCAACTATTGAGCTGAGTGGAACTTTGCTCCTATACCATATATCCTCTGACTCCTCATCACATAAGGAACTTGATTCCTCTTTCTCCATCACTGTTAGGCTGCCTGGCAACCCTGCCTTACTGGACCACAGCCCATCTTCATCAGTAGTGGGATTGAGTACCAGCTAACAGTGCTTGTGAAATTTGTCTTAAAGTAAAAACAAGTAAGTACTGAGCAAGGTCCTAAGGTGCTCTAGTAAAACAGTGTAGGAACTTCAGCAGGTCATAGCATTACTTGCTGACGTTTGTGCTTTGTGTAGTTAAGCGTTAAGTAAGTAACCTCTCGGTGTGCAAGAGGAAAAGGATTAAGAAATTTTAGAGGCAGAAGATAAACAGGAAAGATCAGCGGTTTGTTGTTTTTTTTTCCAGAACTAGGGATTGAACTCAGGGTCTTCTCACTGAGCTGCATCCTCGGCCTTTTTGCTTTTTTTAAAAAAGTTCGTATTTTGGTACAAGGTCTCACTAAATTCCCAAGGCTGGCTTGAACTTGTAGTCCTTCCAGAGTGCAGGGATTACAGGCATGTGCACCACACCTAGCTAAAATGAGCAACCTCTTGAAGGTGCAGGTGTAAATTGAGAAACCAGTATCCCAGCAGATGAACAGAATCAGTGTTTAACCTTATGACTTCCATCCAGAGTGTGTGCTATGGGTTTTATGGAAATGGCAGTGTTTTTAAGCTAGAAATTAGCTAGAGATCAGGCTTTCAACGCTTCCCGAGCCTTCTGATGCTTGGTTTTCTCATCTGTGAGATGGAGCGAAGACTGAGTGGCCTGTTTCGTGAGAGGGAGAATCCCATGGTGTGATATGAAGAGTCCGTGGCCCGAAGGAATTTGTATAAAGGGCCAGTCCATCATGAAGGATGATGATTATTGCTGTCGTTGTTGGCACATCTGTCAGCCATTGCCTGGCTCCTTAACTGTCATGCTTTCTGCACAGGCTTCTGTCTGAGCCCCAGCCCATGTGTGTATCTTCAGCCTGCGTCCTTGCTGCCCTTCCAGAACCTAATTTCATCCTTGTAGGTTTTTCCAAAGCAGGATTTGCACAAGTGGTGTGTTTTCTTAAATATTTATTTTGCAGGCCATTTACTCAGCACGGCTATTTTTACAGTGAGTAAGGAGCAAGGCTAAAAATAACTTAGCTCGTAACCGGATCAGTTCTCCATTTGACATTTACGTGGAATTCATTTGCATCTCATTTGTTCGCCTTTCTGTTTAACAGGTAGAATGTAAGAAAGCTCAGCCGAAGGAAGTCATGTTCCCACCTGGGACAAGAGGCCGGGCCCGGGGGCTGCCTTACACCATGGATGCGTTCATGCTTGGCATGGGGATGCTGGGTGAGTCTGGACGGGTCCCCGGGGAGACTGTGGATACCTATACACCTACCTGGGTCACTTACTGCTTAGGCAGACTTCCCCCCAAGCCTAGGTTTACCTGTGTAAGCCTCAGTTTCCTTGTCTATAAGTGAAGATGACCATTCCCTTTTCCAGGACAGTTGTGATGACTAGACAGATATATATATATATATATCATCTCAGCCCCAGCTTGGTTTATAGGATTCTTGAGAATGTTTTTTCCTTTTTCTACCCTTATCCTCAAAAGGAGTCCCTCCTGCCTTAGCCAACTATGTGTTCTTAAGATCTAAGCACTTCTGGCTGGCTTAACTTGTGTGGGATCCGGCTATATTTTCTAAAACTTGGGAGAGGAGAAAAAGTGGGTGGATTATAATCCTGTCTATTTAAATGATTAACGTTTTCCTCCTGGGACATCAAAATTTGCATTTAAATGGATGTTTTAAATAGCCTGTTTTACTCTTTATTTGCAAAAAAAAAAAGATGAAAGGCAAAGTGTGTTTGTTCTGACTAAAAATGATCTCTCCTGGCTTTTAGAGAAATTGAGTTGCGTATTATGCCCCTTTCCTTAAAGGTATCTCTGTCCATCCTGCGTAGATAATTGAAAATCTCACCGTTTAAATGGCATGAAAGATGGAGAAAGTGAGGGAGATGCGTAATGGGGTGGGTCGCAACAATAATTAGAAATTTCAAGGCGAGAGAATGGTATTTTAGTGCAAGTTATTGTGTGTCGGGAAAATACTAATTAAATAGGATAAATGGTAGTTAATGGTAAAATTCCATTCAGGCACATGAGCTGTCTGGTTTTAATGGGTTTTCATTTGGTCTGGCTAAGGGTCCCTCTTGTTTGATAAGCTCTTTATGTGTTTTTCAGATTTGCTGCTATTTAAATCACTCTTGGTTTAAAATGTAGAAAACTTTTCTTGGTCTCACAAAGAAATGTATCTACTTGTCTGTGAAAATAACAAGGGGCAGGTAAAGCCATTTTGAGGAACTTTTCAGTGACACGACTGAAAATATTAAAAATGGCCAAGATGGTAATTCTTCCACAGTTAACTGTTTAGGTTTAACAGAGTTTCCAAGAAAATTCTGTTGTAATTCTTTTAAAATTAGCTAGATGCTAAGACTTATCTGGAAGAAGTAGTGTGTGGAATAAATAAGACACAATAAATAAAACAGAAGACACTGGTTTGACCAAATGCCTGAACATAACTCAGAGCTACCATAATTAAAACAATATGGTACAGTATATAAGACTGTCCTCAACTTGTGATGGTTTGACTTAAGAATTTTTTTTTTGCTCTCATGGTAAGAAGGTGACATGGACTCAGTAGAAACTGTGCTTTGAATTTTTAATTTTGACCCTGTCCTGGCTTAAAGATACATGATCCCACACTCTCAAGGTGCTGAGCAGCGGCAGTAAACATCTATCATGAGGGGAAATGACTGATTCTCTGCAGGTTACTGTGCTGTTGAGCTATAACAGTCAGATTAGGTGTCTTAATACATTTGTAACTTAGTGACATTTTAAATTTCTGGTAACCTCATAAATCAAGGAGCAGGTGTATAGGACTATGCACTTGTAGATAGAAAAAGTTACAGCCTAAAAGAAATGCATTTCTGCATAATTATTTAAAAATATTTAAATTCAGTGAGAATTATTTCTTGGTTGCTATACGATAATTGCTTAGCTCTTGCTTTATATTTTTCATTTGATCATTACCTCATGTTCTATATCAAAAAGAACTACAAATGGACTTGTAATTTTAAACGTTGAAGTCAAACTACAGAGAGTGGTGCCTTCGCCGCCTGCCTGTCTTTCAGAGTCTTGATAGTGTAAAGGCCGTGGGTCATAGATAGGGGTCTTTCTGGGACCCAGACCTTCAGGCAAGGCCACCTTCGTGAGTCTGACTTGATCAGCACTGGCTCTTTGTCTGGGAGAAGCAGAGGGATGGAGTGAAGCCAGGAGCAAAGGCACAGCCGTGTTCAGTGTCCCAGACCCCGAGCCACCTCTCTATAGACACCCAGGCTGGGTCCCCAAGGCTTTCATCCTGGGATCCAAGGCACAGGAGGCACTCACCAGCAAGCAGTCTTGGGCACCTACTGCATGCCCAGCCCCAGGCTGGTTAACTAAGTTCAGGGCTGATACTGTGCTTGATTAACAAGGCAGCTGTGTCCTGCCAGCAGGAAGCCATGGTCTAGTGGGAGAGACACAAGAGCTCATCATGCAGACACCTAGGTCATCCTAATCGAGCCTTGGGTGCTCCCGGAACACATCAGGAGGAGTGGAAACCAGTCAGGAACTCAGCCTCCTCCCTGCAAAAGTAGCATTTTGGCTGGGATGGAAAGGATAGGGAAGCCATGGGCCTTCCCGCCAGAGGTGGTGTCAGCCCAGTCCAGAGTAGAGCTCCACCAGGGCAGGCCATGTGGTGAGGCTTTGGAAGGGAAGAGGCTTTGGAAACTGGAGATCTGGATTTCTCCCTTGCAAGATAGGGCAAGTGGCTTGGTCTCCCTGCTTTTCCTATCTATGGCACAACAATCTCATCCCGTGAAGTTATCAGAGGATAAATGAAACCATACCTTAACTGGCAAACGTTACATTTCATCAAATCCTATATGCCATGACAAGTGAGAAATACCTTTATGTACCATTCAGAAAGAAAAATATGCCATAATTAATCTGCACAATGCTTTTTTTAATCACATTGACTGCAAGATAGGTCCCACTTACCTAAATGTTAAATGTGAAAAATTAATGTGTCTTTGAATCAGCAAGATGCAGTAGTATGCATTCAAACTGGGAACTGGGGAGAAGTTATTACCCTGGAAAGTGATAACACCTTACCCCTTACAGTCGCTGACCACCCATGGGCAAGAACCTAGTGAGACCCACAGAGATAACTTGTGTGTGGCAACTACATCCACTTCCTGCACCCCCGCCCAAAGATTTGGAGTCATCCTTGAGTCACCATCTTCTCACAAAGATCCTTGTGCTGACTCCAGCCTCACCAGCCCCATGCCTCCTGAATTCTCCAGCCACTGTGGCAAAGCTGTCCCAATGTCTGCTGAGCTGGAGCTTTTAAGAGGTCCCAAAATGTGTCCCCGACCAAGAAACGTCTCATCTCAGCTCATCCTGAGGTTGGGGAGAAGGGATGAAGTAGGCAACAGCATCCAAGGACTGTTCAGCCCGGCTGGTGTCTCCCACTGAACCTTCTCCATTGCACTCCCACACACACCCTGGGCCTCCCTCGTGTCACCCATTGGTGCATCTTGGGACCAGGGCCTCAGGTTCTCTAGGCTAGGACACTGCCATCACTGTGCTAGGACTAAAGCCCTTGACTCCATATCACAGACCCACTTTTTTTTTCTCTTCCCTCTGAAGTGATAGTGTGAAGTTGGGCAGGGGCTACCGCTTGGGTAGGATGCCTGATGTGTCTCCATTGGTCACGTGGATCACCACCTCCATGAGGAACTATGTTCTGCATGCCAGTCCTGGAACCGATGCCACCACAACCCATAGTTTGGCTGATGAACCTGACTCCTGCAGAGCAACATTTTTTTTTTAATAATTTATGAATGAATGGAATGGAATGATGTTGCAGTGACTTCAGCTTTTACTTTTGAAAAAGCAAAAAAACATGTAGCACTTGTAGGGGTTTTTCAGGAGTGAAACTCTGAACTATTAAAACATTAAAATGCATCCATTCAACAGATACTTAATGAGTACCTCCTAACCACCAGGTACCCAAGTTCTAGACCCTGAGGGTGCACCAGAGAACAAAGCCTCTGCTCCCAGGTTGCTGACACTCTAGTGAGGAGTCTGAGACAGCCAATCCCACAGCCTGCAATTGACTTGTGTGCAGTGGAACTAATTTTTTAAATATCCTTCAATTTTTTAAGTATTCTTCTCCATACATGCGAAGGGCAGGCTGATGAGTGTATAGTGGCAGAGTTATTCTTTTCTGATCTCCCTTGACATGAATGCAGACATCCTTTGGGAAAACCTATGCCTGTTTGGATGTTAACTGTATCAACCCTTGATAGAATCATAGAAAATTCAGCCCAATGGAAATTCCTTAGAAAGTGATATAGGAGAGAGGAGGAGGGTGGTTATCCCTAAGCCCTGTCTCCTGTCTCGGACCAGATAAAATCACAACCAACTGTACCCCTTAGAGAAGCTGTTTCTGTGCCCTGAGACTGCTGAGCTGTAGCGAGAGCACCCAGTTGTCCAGCCCACTGTGGCAGAACCTTCTAGTTTCTCTTAATGAAAATGGACTTAATAAAAGCAAACACGTGATTGTTGATCTATTTGATTCCTCTTGGCCTTCTCTGCCCTCGGCCACATAATCCCACTGCCTCTAACTCTCTTGGCCTTCTTGGGCTCATGCCATTTATTTAACATGTTGGTAGAGAAAGAGCACACTCCAGAGGCCTTGCAGAAAAGTTCTATCCTGGCAAGCCTGGAAATGGAGAGACTGTTGATCAGCTCACCACTTTAACCAAAAGCATTGGTTTTTTGTTTGTTTGATTTTTGCATTGTTACTGATTAAACCCAGGGTCTCATACATGCTTTACCACTTTTTCACTTGTACCAAGAATCTCCCATGAAATCTGGACCCAGTGTTTCCCAGAATTATGCCCCTGTGAATTAAAAACAAAAACTAAATAAACCCACAGCTGGTCATGATGGCATCCACCTATAATCCCAGCACTCTGTGAGGCCAAGGCAAGAGGATGGGAAATTCAAGCCCAACCTGGTCAACTTAGTGACTTAATGAAATCCTGTCTTAAAATTAAAAGGGCTGAGTTTGTAGCTCAGTGTGAAATCTCAGGTTCAATTCTGTGTATACAAAAAATACACACACAATATGTGTATGTACACCCTCTTCAAGAAGGCTGGGGAGCCATAATGGGGAGCCATAATCTGCTAGCATTTGCTGACAGATCAGGAGATCAGATGCAACTTACAGCCACACGTCTAGACTTACTGGGATTTGTCTGTCCCCAAAATATCTGTTTGGGTCGTTCCCAGGGAGGCCTCCATTTGTTTTGCTGTTTCCTGGTGGACAGAAGGTGAGAATTCACTTCTTCATTTTCCTTGGGAGCAGTGCAGTCTGTTAGTACTTTCTGAGGTGGTAGGAAGGTCCTGAATCTGTGCTGGCCAGTATGGTAGCCACGAGTTGCATGGGCACACTAGCTGCTGAGCACTTGAGATATGGGCATGTGCCACTAAGGATCTGAAGTTTTCCTTTTATATAATTGTAACTTACATTGGACAGCACAGGCTGGAAGGAGCCCCTGCGAATCAGGATGGTTCTGGGCCTGAGCATCTTGTAGACTTTGGCTAGCATGTCCTTGCCTAGGAAGGGCTCTTGGCACTTGGTGTTTCTTCTGCTCGAAGACCTCATGGAGCTGACGTGATACCCAGGCAGTGCTCTGCATGTCATGCAGCAGATGTGTCGCACTCCGGTGGTTCTTTGGATAAACAACCCTATCTGTTGTCTCTTTCAAGTTAGGGGCCTGGTGAGCGCAGTTTCCCGTGACTCTGAGTAGCTGAGTAACAGAGCCCGGGACAGGATGAGTCATGAACCCATCTAGAATGCAAACATCTCCAGGTCTGGAGGAGAGCTCTAGAGTCTAGAGCCACAGTTCTGGCCCCAGAGGAACTCACTGGCACATCCAAGTTCTGTTATTGATGGCTGACTTTTGCTGCCACAATGAAAAGCCAGTCTGCAAGAAAGGTGGTCATCCCGACAGAAGGCTTGATTTTTTTACTTTAGTGACAAGAGATAATTACTGTGGGATTGATCAGGCGTCCAGAGCACTGGAGCAAATAAATTGTGCAGTGGCCAGTGTGGGAAGGGCCTGGCTGCTAATGGAAGTGGTGACTAGGTCATCCCGCCGTAATGTGGCTTGATGGAGCATCCGCATGGGCCTGCTGTAATGTGTTATTGATATGCAGCCAGCCAATTTCCCACGTGTGGCTGGGGCTATGAGCCGTTGGAGCAGAGCTGGGCTGCACAGCAGTAAATGAAGAGGAAAATTGAAGTAATGTTGTAGTATAAATTTATAATTTCATCTGCCTGACCTAGAAGGTGTTCAGAGATGAGATCCCCCACTCTGACACATGCCAAGTTTTCATCTTTCTCTTTCAGGAGACGATGATATTGACCTTTCCAAAAAGTGGGGTGGGGCCCAAAGTTGGGTGAACTTAGCCACACTTTTCTTCTTTCTTGTCGGAGACTTTCAGATACGCCAGGAAGAAAGCATCTATGTAATCAGATCTTAAGAGGGGCCTGAGTACAGCTGGCCTATTTGCTGTCCCTCCTCCACACCATGGGAAAGTGACACATGGTCGTATGCTTTTGCTGTCAGATTAACACTAAAATATTTAAGACCCCCAGCTCTGAAATTAGAAGCAAAGGAGCCATTTTTCATTAGGAAAGCCTCTAGGCAGCAGTGATTTGGCTGTTTGCTTATAATCCGTTTATCAATATTGTTGAAATAATGGTATAAGAAATCTAGTGCTGAAAGCTATGATTTGATAGCAGGTGATTAATTTGGAGGAGATTTGAGCTGCCCAGCCATGAATTAAATATATTCCAAAGAAGGAACCAGTATGCCTGTGTCCATTTAAGGCATCTGAGGTCTCCATCTTTCCCCATCAGGTCCCTGAACTGGGCATCCCTGGGCTTTTGCCCCTTGGAGAGCAGTCGGTGCAAAGCTGCTGGATGATTGTCTCACCTGGCAGCTTCTGCCAAGGAGATACCAAGTGAGGGAAATAATAAGCATATGGGGCAGAGCAGTGGCAGGGTCCTCTTGAAGGACAGAGGGCCCAGTTCACCAGTGAGTTCAGTGTGACCGCAAATTGGGGCAGGCTTTGGCTGAAGCCAGGGAAGGGAGCCACAGCTGGCCTCCATTGAGCATTTGGACACATCATTACCATGGGAGACAGGCACTGTAAGTCTTTCTACAGGTGGCAAGATTCATGCTCCAGAAGAAAAGGAAAGACCCCTGTCCTAGGTCAGCCTGGTACAATGAAATTCAGTAGACTGAGCAGCTGCCGAACAACACACATGTATTATAGTGTCGGTGGCTGAGAAGTCCAAGATTAAAGTTCTGGCAGATTCCATATCTGGCGAGGATCTGTGCCTCGTAGACACCTTGGTGTCCTCCCTTATTGGGAGGAATGATGTTGTCTCTGGGGCCTCCTTTAAAAGTGCACTAATACCATTCCTGAAGGCTCTGCTCTCATGACCTGCTCACCTCCCAGAGGCTCCACCTCCTGATACCATCCCATTGGGTGTTAGGATTTCAGTAAATGAATTGTGGGGCACTGCATTCAGATCATAGTTGATCCCCAAGGGCATAGTCTTGGGCCACAGACCCCGCAGGAGCCAAGCCTTCTGGCCTTTAGACCCATGAGTGTCATTTCTGGGTCCATGGCAGGTCCAGCACAGAAACTACACACTAACATCGCAGAAGAGGGAGGGATAATGGGTCTTGTTTCAGAAGCTCTGAGGCACAAAAGCTCTGAACAGGCAGCAGGAAGACCAGCAAAGTCAGACTCATGACAGTAGCGTGAAGCAAGGTGGGATTTAGTCAGTGATCCTTTTCCATGAGCTCTCGCTTGCAGGGTCAGAGAGCACCTGATGTGGCATATGAGAATCCCCTGGCGGGGTTGGTGAAGAGATCTCAGAGCTGGGGTTATGTACCAGTGCAGAGAACCTGGGCACCATCCTAAATCCACCCATCAAAGTAACTTTCTATCAGCCTTCTGGTGACAAGCAACAGAAGTGACTGTGGTAACTGTAGGCAGCAAAGGAGATGACTGGAAGGAGCATGGACAGTGTGGAAAATGACAGGAAGGCTGGAGAACAGGACACAGAGGAGGCAGGGAGTGGGGGAGCTGGGTGGTCAGAGCCCCACACCCAGCCAAGGCAACAGCCCTGGTCAGGAATGACCTGGTCAGGGGGCCACTGTTGCCATGTCTTGACACTAAGTTCTGCTGTTGACACTAAAGTAAATTCTGAGCCAACCAGGAGTCATACAGGAAGGGAGTTCAGGTTTCTGCCAACCCCAAATCACCACAGACATCCACCTCAGAGGTCAAAGCAAGTCTAGGTGGTATTGCAGAAGCGTGAATGTGGCCATACCCCAAGTGGAAGGAGGCAAAATGAGCCTTGGGTGCAGGGACAGGAGGTAACCATGAATCTGGCCAGTGAAATCCTAGCCCGAGAAGGCTACACAGGCCTACATTGTAGCCAGAAGCAAAAGGCAGGGACATGAAAAATGGCTAGAGCTGAAAGGGGCTGGCAAGGGCTTGGAGAGGATCCCATCCGCACCAGGATGCACCAGCAGGGTTTTTGCTGGACCCTTCAGTGTCTCTAAGACACACAGCCATGGAGTGGGCATGCCAGATGTGGGCGCCTGGGCCGTGCCTCCCCCCAGGCCATTGCTCATAGGCCTGGCATTTCCCAGGGCACAGGGTAAGCCCTGAATGTGACCACTAAACTGCAGCCCAAAGTACCCAACCCCTGTCTGATGCTGGCCCTGTTGCCCACTGCCTTGGGAGGAGGCATTACAAGGACTTTAATCTCCTACTGTCAACAGCTTTAAGGAAAAGTACATTCAGGGTAAGCTCTCCAAATGTCAGAGCCAGGCACAGGCCCTGTGTTTGGTGCTAATGCGTGGCATTTACTCTGCAGGTTCAAGAAAGTGCATGGGCTTTGGGAGGTCTGGCTGCCTAAATATGGGTTAATTACCAGCAGACTATCGGCAGCCCCCCAGCCACAGAAGAGGCGACCCAGGCCCTGGGTAAAGACCTTCCCTGGAGACAAAGCCCTCAGTGAAAGTAACTAGGACCATTCGCCTCTGCCACCCTCCCTGAGATTGCACCCCAGATCTGAGGCAGCTGTCTAACGGCTTGCTTTCTTTCTGTTTTCAAGGCTACCCCAACTTTGTGGCAACCTATGGCCGAGGCTACCCTGGATTTGCTCCTAGCTATGGCTATCAGTTCCCAGGTGAGTGGCTTGGGCTCCTAGGCCTTTGGGAACTTGGGAAGTGGGGTGCATTTGGGAGGAGCAGGGAGGACGCCAAAGGAGAACACAATTGACACATCTTCATTTAAGAGATGACCTGTGTATGGTAACTTCTGAGTGCACCGGGCCAACATCAGGATGCAGCGAGAGTTTCTGACTCACCGGAGTCTTTCTTAAGGTGCTGGGTTTCTGAAAGTAGCAGCTTTTAATAGCAAGGGAAGCAGGCAGAGGCAGGAGGCTCCCTCTGCTCACTTTCTTTTTCTGAGCCTGTCTCTGTTTCTCCTTCCTGGGGACTGAATGCTAAGTCCAGGGCCCTTTCACCCCTCTACCACCCCCTGGCCCCCTGATCCCTGCGTCTGCATTCCAATGTCTGACTTCTCCCTGCCCTTCCTTCTTTTCCTCCTCTCCTCCTCCAGCTCTGCCCTGGCTGCTCTGGCTTTGGGGCTTCTGTTGTGTGTTGGTGTTTTGCTGATGGGGTTGGGGTTGGCTGTCCATCCTGGACAGGGCTGTGTGGATTCTCCTGCCCTTTGTGTGGCAGCAGAGGCTTGGAGTCTAGTACTCAGGGGTGCCCAACCCTGTGCCCTGGTGCTCTACCTCAAAGGCAGGGGGCAGCCAGGGTGGACACAGCCTGCTAGGGAGGGAGGGTGTTTATGGGGCCTTGCTTTTCCCTGTGGAGGAGAGCCCATCCTTCCCAGGCTTGGACCACAGATGAGAATATGCTGGGGCTGCGTGTGTCTGAGTGAAAGGTCAGGAAGGTGTCTGGAGAAGGTGTCTGGAGCAGAGCCTGGTCCTCTGTGGTTATCTGCTGCAGGGGAGGCTCCCAGAGCTGGCTCTGGGTGGAGTTGCATTTCTGGCTGGTCGTCCTGGACTCAGTGGCCTGGGTGTGTCAGGGCTGAGATGAGAGAGGAAGCAAAGGGAGCAGAGAAGCAACCTGAGGGGGTGCTCGGCAGCAGAGTGAGCATCTCTGGCTGGTGTTGGTCTCATAAGCTCTGGCTGGGGAAGGCAGTAGGCACAGGAGGCATTTGGGAAATGGAATAATAATCAGCAATGGAAGCCCGGGCACTTGCCCTGACACCAGTTGGCTGATTGGCTGTGGCGGGTCACCCAGTGTACTGGACCTCTCCTTTCTATAAGCAGGGTGCTGGGTAGAGTCTGTTCCTCTCTTGTGGTGCCTCATCGCAGGGGGAGGCAGGTGCAGCAGTGGAAGTTTGAGGTCAGTGGGTGTGAGTGGAGCAGCTATTCAAGTGTCACCCACAGCTGGGGCAGTTTCCCCATCCAGGAGGGTCGCTTGGCTTGCCCCGAGGAATCTGTTCCCCATCCTCCTTACAGCTGTGGCTCTTTTCATTGGCCAGGGGCCCTGGACCTGAGAAAGGAGGTACCCACAGTGGCACCTCCACAGAGCTTGGGCAGCACTGCTATTGGGTTTTCCTGCTGCAGGTGGATACCCTGAGGCACAGAGAGGGAGAAAACCCTGCCCAGAGGTCACAGCGAGCAAGGGGCAGAGCCAGGATGTACACCCAAGCAGTCCTTAACAAACTTCTACACTCTCCTGTCTCCCTAGCATCCATTTGTCTGGCATGATAACAGTGGCTATTAAAATAGAGATTTCTGGTCGGGAATTTAGCTCAGTGGTTTCGCGGCTTGCTGCGCAAGTGCAAGGACCTGAGCTCAATCCCCAGTACCAAAAATAAAATAAAATAGAGATTTCAGTTAAATTCAGCAAAAAGGGAAAATGCAGCTGCTCTGTCACACTGGCCACATTTCCGTTACTCAGTGGCTACACGTGGCCAGGGACCAGCTAACCTTGTATAGAATGTAGACCATTTCCATCACCACGAAAGTTCTACGGGGCAGAGCTGTTCCGGAGCTTAAAGGAAGAAGCCTGTTATGATGCAGCTGTGTGGGCCACACACCAACAGGCACGCACACACCTCTTCCCCAGAGGGGCCTCCCCGGCCACCAGCCCTGGTCTCCAGGCCTCACCTGCAAGAGACCCTGAGGCTCACCTGTCTCAGCTCACTCATCTGTCCCAGTGCTGGTCTTGCTGGTCTCGCTGAAAGCCAAGGTTTGGGAATGTGGGGAGGGAGGTGCAGTGATTATGCCTGAAGATTAGCTGTTTATCACCAGCTCCAGCTCTGCAGCTTAGCACCACTGGCTAGGTCTGAATGGGACAGAAATCTGGCATTAAAGTGGACAGGGAGCAGTTCCTTGCTCTGTGGGGGTGAGCTGTTCAGTGCACTCTGCCATCAAACTTTTTGTCTCCTTTTCCTGCCCATTTACACCCTGAAAGCCTTTTGCTTCTCTTAACCGATGGCCAGAAAGCGGCCCCCAGTGGCCACAAGACTGAGCCTCCTGCTCCCAGGGAGGCCAAGAGCGTGAGTGACCTTGGCCGGGAAGGTGTGGTCCTGAGGATGATCCCACTCCTGACCTCGGCCCTAGAGGAGCCGACCCCTGTGACGCTTGTCCTCTGCTTGTCGCTGACGCCTCCCTGAGCACCCAGTGGTTCTAGGCCTGAAGCCTAGGACGCCGGACGCCGCTGTGCCGCTCCAGTTGAGGCTCTGGGTGCGCTGTTCCGGTGCGAACCAGATTTGACCCCTCCTAGAGGTTGGCCTCATGGGCAGGGCAGCATCTGTCTCTTGCCGCAGGCTGTAGGGAGTATTTCCAGTGGATGTGGCTAAGGCGACGAGGGACGGAGCGAGGGGTACCCAGAGCTGTGGCAGCCCAACCCTCTGCCTTCTCTTCCAACCCATCTGGTTGATTCTGTCGACGCCTCCCCACACCCCCGAGATCCTGTGACTTGGTGACATCGGCGCAGCTTGCCGTGTCCACACCTAACTGTCCTGATGTTTTTCTTTGTGGTCTTCTCAGCGTCCTCACTGTTCCCACCTCCCACCTTGCCCCTCTTATGGTGTGTGAGTCCCGTTCCCCACCCCAAACCCTCTCATGCTGTCAGGGCCCCGGGACGGAGCTAGCTGAGGGAGACGGAAGCACACCCAGCCCTCAGGAGCTGCCTGCGTCTGTCCTCTCTGTATTCACTCCCAGGCCAGCCAGCACAGGCTGGGCCTTGCAGCTGCGTGTCCCCATTCTGTGAATATCTGTCTCCTCTGGCTGGGGTCCAGGTCACGCTCCTACCTGTGTGAGGTGGCTTGTGACAGATCTTCCAGGCCACACAGGTGGGGTTAAGCCTCACCTGCCTCTGCCCACCTGCAGGATTCTGTGAGAATAAGTGACATGTTCCAGGGTGAGGGCTGGACACCTTTGGTAATTATGAGAGCCACCTGGGGAATGATTGCTTCTTCCCAGCCCCAGGCATCCACCCTGGCCCAGGTTTGAAAGAGGAATTGTGGTGATCTTCCTCTCATGTCCCCCTCCGGACTTTTAATTCAGTTTAATCTGTTAATTTTGTTCTTATTTCACTTTGCAGACTATTTGCCGATTTCACAAGACATAATTTTTATCAACTAGCTCTTAAGAGAGGCATAGCAAGTTGGGGTTTGCCACCATTTCTAGAGAGGACACAGCCCCGACCTGGGCCACCCCAGCTGATGTCAGGGCCCACTGAAACTCTGTCGTAGAGGCCTGTTTGAATGAATATTCCTTTTCTCTTTTAATTCTTGGAAAAGACTTCATTGCCTCACTCAATTTAAAAAATAAAAATTATCCTCCAGTCACATCCCATGTTGCGTCCTGTATGCACTGTGACCAACCCCACCGGGCCAAGGGGAACTTCTCACAGGCTTTGTAAAGATTCCTCAGGGGAATCAGGAAGAAGGTACAAAGTTTTTAAAACAAGGATCAAGCAGGCTTGTTGGGCATTTCGTGAGGTGAGCTCCTAAGTGCTGGTAGCCCAGAGGGGTTGCAGCTCTGTGACGTTGGAAGCACCAGTGGTGAACGATGGCAAAGTGAACATACACATAGACCCTTCTAGAAAAACATGTGAAACATAATCTGGAAGAGCAGCTATAGAGTTGTTATGTGATTGCCTTCATGTATGGAGCCAGCCTCTTCACGGCTCTTGACGTAATAAGCACATCTGCCTCAGAGAAACGACGGCGGAGTCACCCTGGCCACTGCCCTGTGTTGGGCTCGTGGGCACCGATCCACACTGGGCCCCTCTCTCACCGGCGTCCTCCCCTCCCTGCCTGTGCTGGCCTTGCCCTCCTTGATGGCACCACTGGGTTCTAAGGGACCATCCTGATCAGCTCTGCATCCCAGGGCTGGCATCCCCAATGCTACCCCCAGAAGGACATTTCCCCGTATTGCTGACCCCCTCCCTCTCTGAAATATCTCCTCTCTTGTTAACGGCCTGCAGCTCAGTTGGACCTGCAAGAGGCACCCCTCTGTCTGTGCTCGTGGTTTGTGAGAAGTGCTTCCATCTGATGCATCCGATGTGAGCAGATCCGTACATTTGAATATCATTGTCCTTGAGACACCACATCCGCAGTTTGGTTCATCTCATTAAAGATGCTGGATGTAGGGGCCGGGGATTTAGCTCAGTGGTTTCGCCACCTGCTGCGCAAGCGCAAGGACCCTAGTTCGATCCCGGGTACCAAAAAAAAAAAAAAAAAGATGCTGGATGTAATAATTGGATGGTTTCCTTTTATTTTGCCACAGGCTTTTTTATAGTTTTTTTTCTCCAAAAAATTATGGCTCCTCCCCGCTTCATATTTTGGTTTGCTATGAATTGTTTTGCTTTAGTGCGCTTGTCCTAGTACCCTTGCCTCACAAACATGTCAGCCATTGTGAATTTCTTCCATCTCTGTAAATAGTTCATCTGTGCTGCTCCCTAATGACATTCTATTTTTTTTCCCTGTAAGCAACTGAGGTAGAAAAATAAATTGTTTACCACGGACATGCTGTGTGCTGCTGTCTCTTAGCCTGACAGTGTCCTGTTCTCTCTCCGGGGGAGGTGAATGCACTAAATAACCAGTACTGATGAGAGCCCGGCAAAGTCTCTAAAAGCATGCAAGCTCCCCCTGGTG